GCGGCTGCTCGGCTAAAAGGACCAGTCGGTTTTTTGAACGAGGTCGGACGGAATGTCGTAATAGGTGGCGACGTGGGTTTCATCGTTGTTCTAACTGATCTATTCCGCGTAGTAGATGTAACGAAAGAGTAACATCGCGTGGTCGCTACGGCCAAGTGGTGCACTTGTGGTTTCAGTATCGGTCATTAGTTCCTCTTTGGCGAGCACTAGGTCTAAACCAGAGGGTGTCACACATTCTGAATCGTGTGGGAGAGGTGGCATGATCATACAAAGGTACATCGACGGTTGCCTCCTACAAATCAGCCTTGGTTAGCTCGCTGAGCGATGCTCAGACTTCGATTGCGTGCAGTTTGAAATCTCCCGTCAGAAGGACTTGACTGTGTGACCGTACCGGGACACACTTCATCGCAGAAGCTAGGCGGTGATCCATCTCTAGGGTGGATATTGGAGGGCCGTAAACTATTGCTAGTAAACACATCACCACGTCTAAGGTGCAGATGGCACCAAAGAGAATCAGCAACTTGCGTTTCTGGATCGTCGATGATACCAACAGTCAAGTCTGATAGATAATACAGAAGCACTCCTCCTCCTCTGCTGGGTCAATCGTTTCTTAGGGTAATCACAGCATCGGTGATCTCCTTGTTCAGTCATTTTTCGATGACCACGACCATGTCCTAAGGCGTGGAGGTCTGACGAATAGGAAGTTCGATTGTCTTGCTTAGAAGACCATGTGTGTTGGTATGCAGGTATGTGAGGGCCTCGGAGGTTAGAAGCGTGTTTGTGAATGATGCTTTTGTAGGAGGGTCTGTTTGACCCTTAGGGGATCGGCTGCCGGTCGCTTTTTTGTACGACCGATGACACAGTCCCTAGGGCTATTCGGGGTTGTTGTGAAGAGTATTCAGCGTAAGCGAGTGGATGATCACTTTCCCCCTTTCAGCTGCCGTGTTGTTTTGATGATGTCCCGGTTCTGAGCTGCACGGTGACGGGGTTACACAGCTGAACTGCTTATCCAGTTTTGTCTATTTGTAGCCGATTGCCGATGCAGCATTTTACGCAGTTTGTACATTTGGTCGATTTCTCTGCCATCGGTTTGGATTGCAATGCTACTTTTACCAATCAGGCACCACTGCCTTTATGGTTGGATGATAACGGTAACTTTGGTGTCGAATTGGGGATAACGTTTTTGAGTGAGAGCACTTCACGGACGAAGCGATGTTCACCCCAGTCATGCGCTTTGGCGCCTAGCTCGCTTGATGACTGAAGCCAGGGTACACCGTGGACAATTATCAATTTTAAGTCTTTTTGTTTACGAAGTCATTTGGATTACTGGCGTTCGCTCCAAGGAACATATGGAAAAATACGAACAGTGCTTGGGGTGGTTCGGAGACTAGTGGCTGACAAGAGAACTGTTTATGCGTCATTCCCTGCCTAAAGCATTACCTGGAGTAACCGCGATTCACCGTAGTGTACTGAGTTTGGATGACGGACCAGGCGCATCATAATGGCCAACTTAGCTTGGACCTCTATTAGTTGACACAGATTACTGTTCTGAGGGTTAAGCGGGGACGTAGACGTCGAACCAGGTCGGAGATGCGCTGTCACGTTGAAGCAAGTTCACACGGTTCCGGTCTTTGTTGTGACCATAAAGCATTTGTCTGGCTGTCGGCAGAGTGCGGCTTTATTTCCGTGCTGCAGTCACACGATAGCGTGGTGAATGGAGTTGGTCGCCCACAGCCAAGATGTTAGGTGGCAAGGCAGACTTCCCGAAAGGCTGAGAGGGGTTCTCTACAGGGGAAACGTGGATTACTCTGTAGCTGCTCCACACAGTAGTGAACTGTAACGAATGGGACCATGTTCAAACGTCCCCGGAGTGCCCTACCAAGTGAGTGGTCAGTAGAGCAGAAAGATCTGCCCGCAGGATGCACGCTACATATCACTGCACTGAGGATGCCACCTCGCATGGTGGTGAAACGTTTGCGACAAAACCGCCAAGCTCGGAGAACAAATGAACAATTGATTCATCAACCCGAGCTACCAGTATTTCGAAACATTTTAAACGATAACTATGTGCATCTATTAATGTACCTCTTCCTGTGGTTCAGGATATATTGGTCGTACGACTAGGTGTCTATTCGAGAGAATGAAAGAAGACCGTCCGGCATGACTAGCGACCGGAAGCAGAAGGGTATGTAACTCAGCCATAGTTGCCCACCTTGCCGACACAGGCCACAACCCTAGATCAACCGAAGCATTCCAAATTATCTACAAGGCTCCGGATAATCGATCGAGGTATATGCGCAGACGGATACTAGAAGCCGCTGAAGCTATAGCAATCCGGTTGTACGAACCAAAGTTGTGCACTCAGAAGCGATTTGTTCAGGCCTTACAACTGCCCTGGCCCGATCGAGTAGTGATTTTTACTCAGTTGGATCGTGTGAAGACTCCGACACTGACTTGATTGTTGGCCATTGTTGACCTCTTTTAAACTGATTTTACCCCGTTTTAACAACTCAGGAGTCTGTCCAATCAGTGTAATTGGTGTATAATAATTGTACTAGCCTGATGAAGAATTATCGAAAACATATGTTCGCTAACATTGACTTTTGACCAAAAATGGTCTCCGATTTTTGGGAACACGCAACCTTTTGCGCATATGCACGGGTGAAATACTTGCCGGAATTAACAGTTCCTAATAAATGAATGATGAGCTGATAGTGTACTTAGAGGTGATACTAGTCAATTCGAGTCGAATAAGTATGGGTCCAGTGGCGTGCGATAAAATGCGGCACAGTAGGGTGTCCAAAGTACGTGCGAGTCCAGCATGCGAACGTTGAATGCCACCAACGAAAGGGGACAGCGTGGCCTTGGAAGAGAATGCTGTCGATAGTCGTCAGGTGGGTGGTACTGGAAGATAGCTGCAGATGATAAGACTTCAGTGGCTTTGTGACAGCTGTCAGTTGAGCTATGAAACATAGGAAGGTAACTAATGGGGTCTGGAGAGGAGTAAGAGAAACAGGGGAAAAGAATGAAGAGGCACCAGCAATAGCATGGTTTCACTTATCCTCCTTGCTGTGTGCAGCAGATAGAGCGATCCTTTTAAAGCTGCGCGAAGGCCGATGCAGGATGTGGTTGAATATTTAGAAAGTAATTGAAGCAACTCTTTCCCGACGAAATTTTCAGTAAAAGCGTTAACACCAAAGCACGTGCAAATTAATAGCATCATGAAGAGTTAAGAAAGTTGAGATAGCAGATTCACCAACATATGTACACACACATACGTGCGTCTTTGGCAGTTCATCATCTGTCTACTGGCTTACTAGCAGGGTAGAGTCGGTGTGACGAACGCGTCCTGCACACACAGACTAGGGTCAAGTTGTTTGATCGCGACCACCTCTGAGTATCGCAGCACATGAATGTTGTTTGATGCGTAGATCACACTGAACCTACGCGTGTGGTCAACACAGTGTTTGTCTGTCAGGAGATGGCGGGCGATAGATGACGCAGGCGTCTTGAAGAGTGGACCACTTGCGTTCCCTGGCTGCTCACCTTGGGTGGTAGACGGGGCTAGGTTCGAAACGTGATTCCTGACTCACACTGGGATGTGCTCCGCGATTCTCATCTGCAACTGGCGTTCGGTCATGGTTGTAGGTAGGCCAGGGCGCTCAGATCTAGACGGCAGAACGATCAGGTTTCTCAACCAAAGCTTATAAGCCTGTCCGCAAGGCAGTGGGGAGATTTTAATTTTTTGGTTTTGCATAAATGGATGCCAGCACATTTTCAAACCCCACCCTGGAGTCTGAGTTTGCATGGTTGACGACATCCGGTTTCGGATTTGCCTGTCACTGTGGCCAGCCACAGGACGCCTGCGCCTACAGAGGGACCATGGGTAGCTTGCGCTGCACCACCCACCCCACACCCCATATCCAATGTATACCAGTAGGAATAAGACCGGGAGGCATGTGGATGGGTTGAGTTTGTATGACCTCTTACCAGTGAGCAACCTGTTAGAATTGACTCTCAAGGGACCTGGGGGACCAACTAATATAGTTCAGTTGGTCGAAAAGGTAAGGGAATCGTCGCAACACGTTCAGGTCGTTTCATTGCGACGTATAGTTCATCATGGAGGCCCCAAAGCAGGGGAAAACGGTCAGAAAGGATTACACACCTGTCTTGTTGTCCGAAGGTAATCGATTCGAATCTGCGTAGGTACTTGTGACCTCGCGGTATACCCGGCCCATGTGCAACTGGTGGTCGCGTGACAGCGAAGAATCTGTACGACGTACTGCATGTGCCTTTTTTTCCTCCCACAATGACAGTCGTGCTGCCGTGTAATCCCAACCAAAAAAGTTCTCGCAGACGCACTATTGCCTCTCAACAATTCGTCTACACATTTCATGTTAGGGCATAAGCCAAAGCGTAGCGATATGTATTACCAGTTTCTGACCCGGATGCGACGTATGCCTCTCACTGTAATGGTAGCGCAAATAACATAAGCCAGCACAATCTGCATTGTGCGAACAACATGCTTTATGCTGCGCTTCGCGTAGTAGTCTCAAGGAATTCGCGACGATGGTTGTCAGCGATGATGACATCAGCAGTATGTCGGCACGCTGTACCGGCGCTTCCCTGCCACGCGACCCCCGTCAGTCGCATGTGGGTTGGGTATACTGCGAGCTTGCTCGCATATTCGAGCCGGCCATCGGCCGATCGCGGCTCGAGAAATATGCTTGCCCGTTAGACAAAATTCTCACCTTTTCAAATTTTCCTTGAAACGGAAAGTAATTACGAAGGATGAGCATTGTTGCGCGGAAATAGTCAACAAATGATGTTGACAATGAAACTAATAGATTTCTGTGACATGCATATCGATGCTTCATTCAACACTAATCACTGCAGTCTTTTGGCATTCTTTGTCTTCAAACTTTTCATTCAACATCCTGAGGCTAGTGTAGCGGAGTATTCAGACAATCTTCTCTGTTTCGCTATTGCCTTGTTCATAGATCTATGGAGGACTACATTACATGGGCACCCCAGTCCAAGATCCGGAAACGCATCGCAGAATACAACGATATGCGTGATGACTACGAAGATGTTTGACCGGACCACACTCATTCTGGCGATTTCTCGTTAAGCCTTTGTTGCATTGTAAATACAGTACATCATGCAATCAGCTGTTTGATCACAACGCCCGGACGGTGTAGTATTTTACATAACGGTTAGAGTGTGCACTCAGACGAAATCCGGCAGACAGCTCGACGCCAATTAATATTGGGCGTTACCCATCTTGAAAACACTATACTGCACGACTAGTTCCATGCTTGTCTGATCACATCGGGTGGAGATGGAAGGCATAGAATCCGGGGCCTATTGGGTGTTAACCGAGACCTCTAACCATAAGCCACCAAATCAAGACGGGCAATACTGTCACAGCGATTAATTCCTGGTTGCAGAGGTCATTTTGAAACACTCGCTGTGTGAATGGATTGCTACGCGCAATCTCGATGTGGATCGCGATTCGCATTGTAGTTAACCTTGGTCAGTTCGATCACCGGGATGAAGCCAACTACACTGCGAATGCGGGATTTGGGTGACTGTTAGTTTCATTTTACGACTTTCCTTGATACATCGCCATCAATATTCTATATTTTCAACTCACATTGTAGCTGTATGGAGTTGATTTACTCACTCCAGTCACATGTATGTGTCGTCACTCAACAGGGGCAGGTGCCTTTCCCGGTAGTCGAGTACGCCATCTTATTACCATCATCTTCACCGTCTTATGTTATCATCGCCTTGTCACGTTAGGTAGACGTGGGCACATGCAAATTCAGCGTCAGGCCTCTCTACTTCACCTAAACGTTGTCACACATTACCACGGATTCCTTTTCCCGGTAACCGACGCATACCCATCTTTGAGGACGACGCACGTATTTTGTAGCTCTTGTCCCTTAGCTACTCTGCACATTCTATTAATCTATTATCTACCAGTGTCCTAAATATAGGAAAGCAATCATACAGATCCTTTTATCTGTCATTTCGGTGTCATCTAGAGGACGGAATGTATTTATATACACATACACACTCCAACACTTTCAGGAACCGTAAGCGACACAGTTTTTACAAGGAAAACACAATTAATTTGGAAATAACGGGTTAATAGAGATCCCAATCGGTTTTCATTTCGTACGGGGGAAAACATGGGTAAGTATATTGGACGCTAATCTACTTAATGTCCTGATGAATTGTTGCATTTGTTATGGCTTACACTAGTGGTTCTCATGACCTATTTCGGTATTTTACTCATGAGCCGTCGGCGGAATGGTTCAAACATTTGGTTTTTGATACCAAGATCACGTGCGCAGTGCCGGGGACATCGCAGTATTCCAATCCGTTAACGGTGAAGCGTAGAAACGCGGATGCCTTCTCATCGCGAAGAGATCAAACCTCGTCGTGGTGCGATGGTTTGTGAACACTCGTGTTCTAATAACCTACGCTGATAGACACTTTCCAAGTGCTTCCAGAATCACAGACCACTTGAGTCCTAGGGTCCTCTCCATCGGAGAAGAGGTCGGCGACCACAGGAAGTATACTCAGCTTGATTGGCGTAGAGAACGAGCGCCAATTATGGAGAACACTGTCTTTATTTGATAGGTTGCTAAATTTCGCATCAAGTCGCGCAACCCTGCGGCTGTTCGCGGTCGGAGATATACAATTTTCGAAGGCCGAAAACGTGCATCACAAAGTACGGAAACCATCAAGACCGTGACTGGCCTTAAACAGATTCCAATAAAATTTAGTAATCATGCAGCCGAAGTAGGGGTTCTCTTTACTACCTTGTGAATTAGATTGTCAAACCAAACAAAACAGGCTAGACCCCTCCCACACAACTCGTATTGGAATGATTAGCTGCAGAGTATCATCTGCTCACAAACTCCCGTCACTAACGCCCTAAATCATTTGTTTCAAAAAAAAACCACTTCGACCAATATAAAGAACCCCGAGGTACCATTCCATGTTGGGCCCTTCGGCTTGCGTGCACTGTCAGATTGGTCAGCAGGATATGCTGACTGTGGCTGCACCCCATCGGAATTGTGTGCTGTCCCCAATATGTGTATGAAATACAACAGCGCCTTAATACATCTAAGCTTACCAGATACGTTTCATTGACTGAGATTACACACCGCGTCTACGTTGACGCTGGATCAGTGACCCACATCACTTCTGGTGTTGGTTACTTTCGGCTGAGATGTAGGGACTGCACTTGTGGACTGCGGTTTGGGTGCCATTTCACCTCGAAGCTCTAACAGAGTATTAACTTTGGCGGATGAAGTTAAGGAATCTTGTCATTCGACATGAGCCTCCACCGACTGTAATCAGGAAGCCGTCAAAAACGAGCGGGTTTTATCCGAATGATTAGGATTCAGACCGCTCTATAAGCCACCTCCAGGTCATTGCCTGCAGAGTTGGCAGTGGTGTGTACTGGCAAGGTACAAATTCGCAACACAACCATTTACATCGGGTTACATGGCGGCCACCGAACGACAGACTGCCCCAGGTTCGAATTAACCATATTGCCCTCCCTGCAGATGAACAACGTCGGTTGATTTGGAGCATTTATCTCGATTTGAACCATGGGTTCGTATGTACCTTCGTGACGCCCAGCCTATCTGCCTCGGTGAAAAGTTCCATCTCTAGGGTGCTTCCTCGCCACAGTTCACGAAGTAACACATCATTTTGAGTTGTAATATCAACGGTTGTTAGCAGGGAAAGATTGTAGCTATCTGTATATATCCCTGGTTTACATGAGTATGAGGTGTAAAATCTTAGTAATATCTCCCATCCTACACCGATGAAGAATTCGGACTGTATGTTGAAGTCGGTCGGATCGCTCACCAGCTGCGACTCGCGCTGCCACTTCCGCGTCCCTAGCTAGCACGTTTCACCTATGTTGTTTCATAGCGGTCCACTCTTATGTACGCACAATGAAAGCCTGCCCCTTCATTAACGCGTTGTCCTGAACTGGGCTTGTAGTTACGAAATGTCCGAGTGGAAAAATACCCGATTTCACATTAAGATTAATAAAGCATTCATATTAAGATAGGCTGTAACATCGTAACAAACGTAGATGAAATGTGCATGATTCAACTGTAGGAGCACTGCTTGCCACTGTGTACAACAACAAAAACTTCTCTAGAACTAAGGTTGGCGCAGCTGAAGTTTCATGTTTACATCAGAAATCAAACGTCAGATCAGACTGCTGGAATTCAGTAAGTTCGCGGGATAATATGAACTTCCTCCAGCCTTTTTCAACTCGGTGGAACATCTCTTGTAAGTGATTTGCAAGAGTTATCAGCGATCTTTTGAAAACAGGAAATCGTTCCAATTGACTGCAACTACTCCGATTTAGTCACGAATAATAGTGCAACCCACGCTCGGAGTGCAGCAATCACAGATGAGTCAGTCTGCCGTTCTGCCCAGATTAACGCGAGGATCCAGCCAGGTTTCGTCGAAATCGGAGTTGTATTGACCACATCCTCACATTGTCAGCTGCTGGAGCATCCCAACGTTCATTGGCACCCACCCTAGTCGTGTTCCTAGACACTAAAAGCGCCTTCGATTGAGTTGTGCCACTTGGAACTATTTGGTTTGGGAAGATGTGTCCGAAAAAGTAGCAAATATTACACGACCACTTTACGCACGTTGTCGGGGCAGAGTTACAGCTCTTGGCAAGCTATCGCCGCCACACAATACCTCCAGCGATTCCCGCCGTAACTTTTCAGTTTCGCTAGTGGCCCTCATTGAAATTGCGTACACCGAACTAGTTTTAGGTGTAGAGCTGCTTCCAGGTGGTCGGTTTCTCAATTTGGTATATGCGGACAATATTGTCCTAACCTATGACGGTCTACAAACGTGCCAAGCAGTGTAATACGGATTAGCAATAACTGTCAAATCTTTTGGGCTGCGTTTTCCACCCTCAAAATGTAAACCTTCCAAGGGTGGCAAGAGCTAAACTATTTTGTTATAAGTTGCTCAGAAACTGTGGAATACAAAATGAAATCATCGACCGAATAGAAAAATCTCGAGGGGTTTGGCTAATCTTTGTCGCTCATGGGCGTTGCCGACGAGGACGCCCGGATTTCTTCGTGAGACGAGGACAGTGTACTGGATTGCGGTGAGGGGAGTGACACTTCCCAAGCGTACCGTCGGATCTGCAGCGGAGGGAATGTCCTGTTGGCCTTTTTACTGCACTAGCCAGTTCTTTTTGCAGTCCAACCAGCCCGCTCCGACGGCCCACCGATTATGCACTCTGGTCCACACCATAGTCATAAATAATAAAAAAGCAAAAGCCTTGACCCAGCGAACTCTGCCACATACCCCATATTGGAAGCCTCTGTTCAAGTCCATGCTACTATTCGCACCTACCCTCACCTCCCGTCCCCCCTCTCAATGACAGCTCCATCGAAGGCTTTCAGCCTTCTACGGGGAGACCCTTTTAGAGTACCAGAAAACACTTCCGGCATTTTGCAACATTGGATTTTACCGTTGTTTTAATCTTCAAAACGACCACTTGTTTTACTGACGGCACTTCCGTTGACACAAATTGTTTTGGTAAGTATTTTGCTGCACCGTTTCTCGCTTCGGTTGGTTCGCTTCCTATTTTTGTAGCCTGCACAATACACGTTGGGTTCAGTCGCCTCCAACTTCTATTCTGTTCCGTAATTGACCCGGCTCTTAAGTGTCATTGATTACCGACTAGAATCCCAGGCAACACTCAACAAACATCGACTCCGAAAGGAACAGAGTAACAGCGAGTCATACGTGACCACTTGTAAAAAAAAGTTGAAGATAAACGGACACCCTACTTCTAGTGGCAAACTCAAGGGAGAGCTTCTAGTAGATTCTGACAAGGAGCTGGATTCGTGGTATAATATAATATGGGGGAAATTCCAAGGTACACCATTCAGCGATAGATGCCGTCACAAATAAGTAGACCTACGGAATAAAACACGGTTTTCAAAGCACTACTATTATCGTAAACTCTTAGCAAGAATGATGACATTCAAGCAGGTATCGAGGAGTATAAATGGGGTCAACACACCCTCTGTTAGTGTGACCATCACCGATTTATCTATTACAATATTTGAAAACCACGGAAAAAAAGACGAAGGC